AAACTAGTTGCTTTGTCGGATTCTTCTTGTATAATGCCTTAAAAACCTGTGCCTCATTATCTTTATCCACACACGCCGGTTTCATCTTGATACTACGATGGTATGCATGATTATAACCATGCACTAGTTGTTCCAACACGTCTATGTAACGTCTCGAGTTTACAGATGTTAAATACCTCCACATCCGGGTCTTAAAAGTGCGGTTGAATCGCTCAACCACGCTGGCCTTTGTTTCATTCCCCGTGGAAAAATGTTTAATTTGATAGGCACTCAACACGTTCTGGAAATGCTTATTATAAAATTCTGTTCCATGATCTGTTTGCAGTTTTCGAGGGATCCGTCCTTCACTTAGAATTTGTTTAAACACTTCTGACACCTCTGGACCCTTTTTGGATTTGAGACATTTCACCCACGCATATTTTGAAAATACATCTATACATGTTAGTAAATAGCGAACATTATCGTTTTCATTAACATATTCTGTCATGTCTACTAAATCAGCCTGAAATTGGTTGTTTATACCATTTACTAATACTCTGTTGGTTGGAAAATTTATCCTAGGCGATGTATGGAGTGTATAAACGTCTTGTTTGAGCAAAAAGTTTTTGACTTCAGGTCTTGTAATATTAACCCCTTCCAATTCGTTAACAACCTTGTACAGCTTATTAAAACCACCTAGACCCCCTGGGTGCTTCGGGTCATTGTATATTTTACTAAGAGTACCTTCCATGTTGAAGAACTTTGAGACAATGACGTTATAAAAGATGTTTTATAGGCCCTCCTGGTGGAATAAAGACATTATTACTCATTATAGAAAAATAAATACATTAGTAATACTTACCATAATCTCTTGTTGTATTCAGAGAGAACCACAGATTAGCAGCTTCAGTCTCCGTTTCAAGGTATCGTAGTCGCTTTTTGACCGTTTCCTACTCCATGTAGAAATAATCTTTTTGAATAGCCTTATCAATTTTGCTAAATATTCTAGATACTTCGCGCCAGTCTCTGTACTGTATAGAAACAATATTCACCAGTTTTGGCGGTAAGGTTCCCAATCTAACACAATCAACATGGTTATGTAATTTAATTTGCACAAGCCTCTTGTTTTCTACATCTTGTGGGTCGTTCGTAAACATCAGCTCGTAGTCCCCCTTATTAGCCTCTCTCCAAAAATGTCGATACTCTACATTTTTGACCATTGCTAAATTTACAGCGTTGCAGTGGGTCCTAAAATGAAACCAACTCGCTATAGACATGCGCTCCTCCCCAAAAATCACATACCCCGCCGTATACGTAATTGTATACTTTGAATCACTTCTGCCACGCTGCGTCACGGTGTAGGGGTTACGCTTGAGAGCTTTCCTTGTGAGCGGCCGTAGGGGGCGCCGTTTCGGTGACTTCTGGGTAGCCGTCTGAGATCTTTGAGGACTAATAGTAGCCATTGTTGTTGAGTGATGAGGTTTCAAAGGAAAAAAAAAAAGTTATTTTCTTTCTGTAATCCTAGGCTTATATAACACCCTTACTGTACCCAACTTAAATCAGATAAACCTATCACAATCCACCATTATTCTGATTGGAGGTTGTAGACAGTCCTCCCATCACCCCTCTCTGATAGGTTGTTATAACACCCTCCCTTTAACATCATCATGATTGGCTTACACTGTTTGTACCACCTCTTCACCACTTGGTACTACATGTAACACCCTGATTGGACGTAATAGGTCCATCCTCCCAACTCCATCATGATTTTCTGTTAGTACACCCTCCCATTAACATTGCCGGGATTGGCTAACACTGTTTGTACCACCTTAGTGTGACAAACCGAGGGCTCGTAGTTATGTTTTTACGTTAAAATAATAAAACAAACTATAAGGACACAGATAAGGGGATTGAGTGAGGACAAAAAGTTTCCATTTAAGCATATTTTATTCTTAATTTAGCTTATTTTGTACTTGTAGCACAGAATACACTTATTCGTTGACAGGGTAAAAAGACAGCGTAAAAAAAGACAGTAAAGACAGCGGTGGTTGTGCTGCGCACCCGGCTCTCTCAAGCTGTTCCTAAAACAAAATAATTACATTTTAAAATCACATACATACAGCTAAAAAGGCAAGTTGGGCCAGGGTGACAGACATACCAAACTTCAGGTAGGACATTCTCTGGAGTTCTACTGGGGAGGGAATGACTCCAGCTTCAGAGGACCACCGGGGACCACACATCCGGTCTACAAAGAAGCGCCCCCAGCTGCGCATTAAAAGCGCCTCCAGAGCCATCAGTGCCACTACCTGAACAACATGCCTGATAAGGACCAAGCTACACAACTATTATATCTTCATTTTTTAAAATTACTATACCTGCTACGCGGCGACACCCCAAACACACACACACACACACACAAGCCGAGCGACCAGCACCCGGAAGTACAGACGGCAAGCGGGACAACGTCAATATTTTGAAGGTTTTTTATAGTGTGCCGTCTGGCGCCCCCAGCTGGTGGGCGGATAAACTGTCCACACTACTACATTCACCCCCCCCAAAAGGAAGCGACGTCCCGACGCTTCTTAAACCAGTCACACAGTAGCGCTACTAGAAACACACAGTGACAGGAAGGCGTATTGAACATTAAAAGGCTACCAAGCTGCTTGTGACCGCAGCACTAGGCAGACAAACCCAGGCTACAGCCAGGAGTAGGCATTGCTGGACAATTAAAAATTACAATTAGGACCAAACTTTTAAACCTCACTTGACTCTAGCAAAGTCAGATCACTGCGACGGGCCTTGACGGCTATAAGTGGGCCCTATAATTGTATACACAGATAAAAACCTCCACTAGGAGTGCCTCCGCAGTACATGGCTCTCTCTGATCACTAACGATAACAGCTTTGGTGCTTTGACAGACACCTCGAGTAATGCAGGAAACTCACATCTGCCCTTACCCACGTCACTGCTCGGGGGTTTGAGCCACCCACTAGAGAGCGCCATGTCCAAACCTTACGGCACACCACCAGACCTTCGACTAGTCACTTTGCAGTGGACTCAACCACAAATACTGGATAGAAAAAACACTGAACAGTTACTCTCATCCCCTCACCTTTTAAGGTAGAGTAATGGGGTGCCCTGAGAGCCATCAGTAACTGAACAAATTTACCGCATCTATGTCTGATCTCAAACTCCAGCTTAAGGACCACAACGGCTGCGCCTGAAACACCTCAGTGAAAAGTATCCACCTCAGGCCGCTGTCTGGAAGTGTCCGAACACTACTGGAGATCAGCAGGACTGCAGACAACATGATGCCATTGCCGACTGTACTTCCTTACTCAACCACCGCTGTCTTCAAAACAAAAACAGATCACTTCATTACCACAGTTATCAGTTAAACCAGCTAGACTGATAATAGCATTTAATACAGGATTGTGAAAAGAACAAACCACGTGCTCCGATGTACTCGCTTATGCAAGAAAAATAAATGTAAAATACATGAAGCAAACGAAAACACAAAAAGCAAACAACATGCAGTTAATACAAATCAAATAAAAGTTAAAACAAGGACACACAACACATGGTGGACTAACGCAAAACAAATAAAAATGCCACTAAATAAAATAGCTGTTACAAAAATATGGAACTTTTGCCGCTGAATCAATCCATCCTAGCCAAGCAACGCCAATTGTGACAAACCGAGGGCTCGTAGTTATGTTTTTACGTTAAAATAATAAAACAAACTATAAGGACACAGATAAGGGGATTGAGTGAGGACAAAAAGTTTCCATTTAAGCATATTTTATTCTTAATTTAGCTTATTTTGTACTTGTAGCACAGAATACACTTATTCTTTGACAGGGTAAAAAGACAGCGGTGGTTGTGCTGCGCACCCGGCTCTCTCAAGCTGGTCCTAAAACAAAATAATTACATTTTAAAATCACATACATACAGCTAAAAAGGCAAGTCGGGCCAGGGTGACAGACATACCAAACTTCAGGTAGGACATTCTCTGGAGTTCTACTGGGGAGGGAATGACTCCAGCTTCAGAGGACCACCGGGGACCACACACCCGGTCTACAGAGAAGCGCCCCCAGCTGCGCATTAAAAGCGCCTCCAGAGCCATCAGTGCCACCACCTGAACAACATGCCTGATAAGGACCAAGCTACACAACTATTATATCTTCATTTTTTAAAATTACTATACCTGCTACGTGGCGACACCCAAACACACACACACACACAAGCCGAGCGACCAGCACCCGGAAGTACAGACGGCAAGCGGGACAATGTATTTTGAAGGTTTTTATAGTGTGCCGTCTGGCGCCCCCAGCTGGTGGGCGAATAAACTGTCCACACTACGACATTAGAATAAACAACATAACATGGTGTAATCAAGCACTGATCTTACACAGAGCTCTATTCAATAATAAAATATCTTAAGATACCACTGTCTCCATGCTTCAGTGAATCACTTACAGTACTCCTTAGATGTTAAACAGTGAAGCACCCATTGTTTTAGCTCACACACAGGGTCAACCAGAGGACAACTCATTAGGTATTCAAAGTACCACCTTTTGGAAAATAAGGTGCACTACCACGTTTTCACCACTTGCTCAATAGCGGTGTCCTTTATATCTACTTACATAATATATCCTGTATTTAACATGTTTGCAAATTTCCTCCCTTTTTTGCACAATCTGAGTGTTTCTATCTATGTAAATGTAAATTTCTCCTCCTTGTGAGATAAAGAATATCTTATCTTATTATATATGTCTTTTACTGTATATGTGCTCTTCATTTTATGTCTTAATTAGATTGTCTGGGCAAAGGCCGTTTATTACCTCATTTTGAAAGTGAGGCTGAGAAGGATTTTGTAACACCGCCACCAAAAATCTCGAGAGGGAGACAACCACTTGATGAAATACGGTAAGATGATAGTTTCCTCAAAGTCTTTACCAGATGTTTAATTTGAACTCCTTTGCAGAACTGGTAAATTATCGAGGAAATCACTACCGTTGATGCGCAAGTTAAAACAAGGAAATAACCGCAACTCAAGTCTAGCTCCGTAAGTACATGCATATATTAAGTATTGTTTATAAGATGTTTTATAAACCTTGGAAATCTACCTTCTAGATCAAGCCTGTCGCACAGTATTGGACAGCAAACACTCAATGATGATGAAAGGTGAGTTACATATTATTATTTTGTAATGATAACGGTATAATTTTTGTCTCTATTTTTAGTACATCAGCAGGAGGTGAATCCACAGAGAACCAACCGCTGTTAAAGGAGCATTCTAGCATATTGGATTTTGCAATAGGGGACGTAGACGACGTCATAGGGGCCGATGGAGTAGCACCCAACTATCAAGACGTGTCAAATACAGGATTGGCATTCCCCGAGCTCAATGAGCAAATATTTGTGCACTCAAATCATGAGCCAACGCAGGATCCACGAGTGAATAGAGTATCACCCCGTCACCCACACGTGGCCCATGAAGCGTCTACGACTAAGGTGAATACCCATCAAGAGAATACACAGCAGTTGTTAAACGTACGTGAAAAAGCAGCGGTGAAAGCAGAGCTGTCCCACGTACGTTCTGAAGTGGAATTAGTCGAGGCACGCTGTACTAGTGACGCACACCAAGCAGGCAGGGTGTTTTCAATGTTGCGCTATAGACAAAAGCACACAGTCGTTAGTATTTAACAAAATAAAGCAGCTAAAAATACAAGTTCACCAATTGCAAACCCAACACATGAAAGCTGATATACATATAGGTCAATTAGAAACCCAACGCATGAAAGCTGATATACATATAGGTCAATTAGAAACCCAACACATGAAAGCTGATATACATATAGGTCAATTAGAAACCCAACGCATGAAAGCTGATATACATATAGGTCAATTAGAAGCACAAAACCAGATAATGGATATGCAAATACATAATTTGACTACAGAAAAATAGTTAAAAACAAGGAAAACAAGGAAAAACAGTAGAAATCCAATCGAGCACGAGTAAATCGCCTACCAAAAAAATAACAAGTAATGCCAGAGTCCCTAACACTTACTCATCAGTCGACCGATTAATTCGCACAAATTATCGAAGAGTACGTAATACGTTCCCGGTTGTCGACCGATTAATAAGAGCGAGTTATGTCACAACACAGGCCTGATGCCCCACCCCCACTCAATAGCATTTGTCCCGCAAATACAGACAATGTTGCTTCTGAATCATCAGGAGAGAGATGTCTGTAAACTCTGAAGATCCAACTTCTATTCAACCCACAAACCCAACACCGTTCAAATAACTAACTAGTGCGAGTCCAGCTATAGAAATGGATAATACTCAAAATGACGACCCAGCTTTTACCAACTCTGTTTTAAATCTACACAATAACGTTCCAACTGTTTCAAGAAGTTGTATAGTACACACAGAGTCAAGTGACCGGATCGGGAGAATTGTTAACGACCACCCCATCTATACGCAAAGTAAATTCCTTGAAAAAGCCAAAGAGTGGCAAACTGCAGTAGGCCTCGACCAACACACAAATGTCACACTTAACGATGTGGGAAGTTTGAGAACATGTTGAACATACAAATCGGCTGCAGCATCCTTTTTAGCTCTGTTTTAAGCGGACCATCAAATTGCGGCAAGACATTATTGAAAATGCGGACGTTTTAATATCTCATAAAATTGAAAACATTGTGTACATATATTCATGCTGGCAACCACTTTATGACGATATTCTAAAAATACGAAATGTATTTTATGTACTTGCCTGACTCATTAGCCAATGACACACTGCTACAGCATGGAAGCCAAAGGTTTTTACCGCGAACGCTCTTCCAGAGTCGCCAAGACTCTCTTCCCACGGAACGAAAACTCACCTCGAGCCGTGGTGAAAAAACGGGTACGTTGTTAAATGTAGCCTAAATGTTATTAGGCCCTAGGAGTATGTAATATATTAAACAATGCTACAGCCTCTAATGTCTTTGCAATGTCCCTTACAGACTCCAGGCAAACGTTCGCCAGCATCATCTTTGCGGCAAGGCAAAACAGCAAAGCGTCTCGTCACAAAAAAAGCGGTAAGTGTAATCCTGTATTGTGTGTAGTGTATAATAGCCAATAAGCCAGGCATCCTCGCTTAACTAAGCCACGACTCATGGCTTTTCTCAATTTCAATACAGGCAGCGGTTTCCATGTCGCTGGTGCGTGACAATAAGGACCGCTGGATGGCAGACATTGAACAGCGTCTAGCCGTGAGGACAGCGGAGCTTACTGCGGAACGAGCTCGAGTAAGTCAGCTGCTTGCTGACAATGAAAAATTGCACGCTGAGCTGTCAGCCAGCAGAGCGGAGACAGCAGCCAGCAGAGCGGAGACAGACAACCTCCAACAAGAGTTGCAGGGGCTGAGAGAGACCACTCAGAGCGGACTCCTCGTTCAAGATTTGAGAGCTGGCTCAGGGCAGCTGCAATCGACACCAATCAGACCAAACACCACTCACTCCACATCTGTCAGACCAAAGCCTAGTCACTCCACACCAGTCAGACCAATCCTCAGAAGCGCCTCAACACCAGCACCAGAACTAGAGTGTTCAGACTTCCAGATGTCGCCATTGGCCCTATCCTGTTCTTTCAACGAGAGCCTCGAAATTCCCCTCCAACGCCCAGATGTGAGCTTGCGTCATTTTGGACCAGAAGACCATGCTAGACTCCACCAACAAAGCTTCGGCCAAGTTGGCAGATATGGATGCCTGCTCTTCAGGCACATTATCTCGGAGGAGAACTACCAGGCATGGACCAAAACTACAAATTGGGATGGATCCAGAGGCAAATTAGAACTGCCTCAAAATGTGAAGAGTTTTGTGCTTGGCACACTGAAGAAACATTTTCCTGGCATGGACAGGGCAAAACTGAAAGAATGTGTGGACAAAATCAACGAATTTCTGCGTACAACACGCAGGAATGCCAAAGGATTGTAAAACACTGTACAAACACTGTATTGGAAGTACTGTAACAATACAGCTGTATATTACTTTATTATTTTTACTTACTCCTTATTTTGTAATTAAAAAACACTTCTTCTCAAAAGTTCCTTTCTGACTTATTCTATGGGATAGAGAGGAGCGCGGCTGGAGCCACTGTCAATGCATGTAAGCTGTTTTAAATCTTTATTTTATTTTAGGGAGTTAAGTGAAAAGAAAGCGACGCATCACACGCGCGGGGCAGCGTTACGTTGCCTTTTGTTGGCCTTTAAAGATGCAAACATTAGCAGAGCAATAATTGCTTCAGTGAAGGAAAAACATGTGTAGCCTACAGTAACAGTCTGCAGCAAAGTATAAAATATTGAATGTTGTTTAACAGAGACATCAAACCGTTTATAGCGGTCATTGAGCTCAAATGTCTCTGTAGCAGCTCAAGTCACTGCAGTGACAATTACACAATTGAGTCTAAAGTTAGACTGAACTGTTCTACTTTAAACTAAGCAGACATTCATCAGCCAACTCCCTTATTTTTGTAAAACACGGAGAAAGTTTTCCCCCCATCATAAATTTTTATTAGCAATATCGTGAGAATGTGTTTTATGTTTAAGTGTTGCTACTGAATGCTATTTCAAAGTAAGTGGTATAACTGGTATAACTTTCAAATTGTTAGAATACTCATTTTGAGTAATTGTATTCAGTAGAGTTACTGTACACTTCAAAAACTCTGCCGAGATCGGGAGCGGCATGAGGCTGCGTCAGCCCTCGCTACAACAGCAGCGTCTAAGAGCGCCTTTTGAGTAACAATTTCTATCTGAAATCTTATCTGTCCTAAAGACAGAAGAGCCTGTGCGCATCAGGTGAGTTTTCCTCTCATTCTGATCAGAGGAGCGAGAGGAGAAGCGTCTGTGGCTTCCCCCTCCTCTGCCGCTAAACGCGTGGATGTGTGTCTGACAAATACATTTAAGTTTAAATGGACTACATTAAAAATGTAAGTGGACTTTTTATAGAATGAATTGTGGTAACCCGTGCGTTAATGCCCCCAGTCATGTGTGACACCCAGCGCGTTTTACAAGTTAACTGCAGTCTAGCAACTATTTTAAATGTGTTGGCCTAATTACTAAGTATGTTTTAGAAAAAATGTAAACGCCAACAAAATCAAACGTGTCATAGCTTGTACTTGAACCCGGGTCCTCTCGCACCAGAGTCTAGCTCCTTATCATTGAGCTATAAAGCCTCAGAAAGTTGTCCGGTCCCTGCTCACAAGTGCCACCTGGTGGTTGTTTGGGTCATTGCAGCATCACTGGGGGAAAAAAAGATAAAAGACGCGTGTTTCACACGTGAGTCTCGTGCTATTCCCGCGTGAAAGGCGACAAAACGAAATGGGACCTGCTGTACCACCAAGCAAAATAACTATAAATATGCACACATTTTACAACGTTTTCTAACGCTGGTGAGAAAAGAGGAGTGAAAAATCTGTTTTAACATTAGCCATGCCTACCACTACTACTATTGAAGATGCTGGGGTAAACACTGACAATGTAGAAGCAGAGGTTGTGAGACATATTCCTCAATAGTCATAAAAAGTCTAAGCTAATATTGGAGAAATTATCAAAGAGACTGCGTGTGGTTACGTGGAAAGGTGAAGTAGTTGTGTTTAACATAACCGTTGTAAAGGGCTCTCATGTTTTTGATCTCATTAAGAATGATACAGCTAGCCACAATGTACGAGACACTTCTAGACACTTAACAACACTAGCAAAAATTAATATTCCAGTCTGTAATTCCAAACACGGTGGGTCGTAGAACACTTATCGTGTTAAAAAATGTGCTTCCTTCTGCTGTTTATGCAACGCCCTTAGCAAGTGTTAAACGTAAAAGATTACTACATCTGTCACCAAAATTCACTAAACCTTAAGACACCAAGAGTGCAACAAGTTGGTTAAGTTTTTAAACTGTTCTGTATAATTATTTTTTTATTTTTTATATAATTTTCTTATTCATGAAATGTATCAATGAAATGTGTCAAAGATTATGAAATGCTGTAATTTTTTTTTGTATGTTTACTAGTCTTAAGGAACATTTTATTTTCATTCTATGTGCTCTGTTTGTAAAATGGAAAATAAAGATTATGATTAAATATTTCAATCAATTTTATTATGGATCACACATTGCATCATACATTGTATATCATTAACAAACCGACATACCCTTGAATCGTTACAAGCTAAGTTAGGATCAAACATACGGATAAACTCTTGATAACTTAAACCTTTTAACATGTGGTAAAGAAAAAACAGTGTTGTCTGCAGGTTGTAGAAAGATGACTCTGGACCTGTTTTATGGAATGGTAAAAACCCTGACTGTTCTGCAGTATAAATCTATTAATTCTATTTGGGAACTTTTTATAATCTGGACCGTTTCCAAAGCTATCAAAGAAACACCCCAATTTATCACTAGAAAAGTAGACGGCCGACCAGTGTTGTCCCGGTTGTGTTGATGGGTGGGTGTTAATGATAACGAATGCTGGATAGCGGGTTATGACCTGAGGCAATCGGTCTGCGGGGAAAACACCAAGGAAAAGTGTGCCTCGTTTAACACACTTTTTCATGATGCTCGTTAACTCTATAGTATTCATTATTGTTGGACTTAGTAGTAGTCTAGTAGAACTTGTCTTCTGTTTGAAATCTCAATTATGGAATCAAAAACTGCATAACAAATCAAATTAACAGTGCGTGGGAAAGGTGTCCTAAACCTGGCTTCCAAACGTACATTTCCGGTTTTAACTAGAGAAATATTACCCCCATGGCCTTCATCGGCCTCTAAATTAAAACAAAACAGCGTATAACCATCTACAAAATTGTCTCGATCTATCGCTAGAGACTGGTCTTTTAAATGACATCCCGTTGTTTGTACCAACTGATAATATTCACGTACATATTGTCTTCTGTTAAACACCGGTTGAAAAGGTTTAGATGGATTGACCGTCTACATATAAACTCATGAATTCAGTGTCGGAATGTTGGAAATTGTATGGATTGTGTGTGTAACTCCCTGTATATGCTTCATTGTCAATAAAACCCACAACTAAGAATGTAGGTATGTTACCTAGATAAAGATTGTCCTGATTACAAACTCTAGTACCATTCGTTATTGAAAATGTTTTTAAAGAAACACGGTCAAGAGCGTGTTTCGCATTGGTATGTTGTAAGGCCCTGCTGTGAGTGACTTAAGCACTGGTGCGACCGTGCGACTGCAACCTTTTTCACAAAAAATGATGCTGAAACTTTTCACATGATAATTAGGATTATTAGCTCCAGACATCAGTACAAATTCATCTTTAGAACGGATACATTTCAACGACATGTTTCTCTCGGGGCAACACGGAGACGCTGATGCTTTTATCACCAGTCGCATTGACTACTGTAATGCCCTGCTCTCTGGTCTTCCCAAAAAGAACATTTCAGGTTTACAATTACTCCTCTCTCCTCTGGGTCCTGTGTCGTCCTCTGTGGTTGCAAGCGGCTCTGCTCCTGGTGCAGATGGCTCCCTGGATGGCGCTTCTTCTGTGTGTGTGTGCGTGCGTGCGCATCTTGATGTATATCTAATAATTAGGTTAGTTCATGGGTGGGGCGGTGGGGTAAATTTTGCATGTTGTATTTATTTTGAAAGCACTTTGTTGCATTTTATTGTATGAAAAGCGCTTTATAAATAAAGTTTGATTGATGTCAACACCATTTATAATGAATATTTCTTGAAAAGACAGCATTTGGAAACTCTGCTTTTTCTTGTGTGGCCGCTCGTCAGTGGAATATGCTGCCTACAGAGCTGATAACAAGCACAAACTTTTACACATTCTCACGCCTGGCAAAGAAATGGCTCCTGTCAAATCAATCTTGCATCCACATGTAACTGGATGTATGTCTGTATGTGTGTTCTGAGGTCTAAAAGAGTAGACCTGAGTAAATGAAAGGTGTGTATAAGAGTTTGTATCTGATTGTTGTGCATGTGAAGATTTGCTTTTACTATTATGAACTTGATCAATGTAAATGCCATTATCCATGTGTGCATGATGTTTTTATGTTTTTTACTATAACACCAGCCTGCCCAGGGACTACGGGTGGAAATTAGCTCTTGAGCTATAACTTGGTACAATGCATCTCTCCCCTTCGGGTTAATGTTTATTGTACACTGTCCCTGTTTCTCTAAATAAAGAAAATTACAAATTACAAAATTACAAAAAAAATATCCGAATGTGTAGGCCCAATCAACTCAACAATTCGGCCATTGTCCGTATACCCCCCTCTTTTATTTAAACCCTGATTATTACCGACTACTCGCTGTATTCATATGTCCACTAGTGTCTTTACAAAACAAGGCTGTGCTAAATTGGGTGTCGAGTAAATAAAGGCGCTATACCCGTTTCTGCAAGTTTTGAATGTTTAGCACCGCCCCCAACTCGCTCAATGGCTTCTCATTTCCCCTACGCTCTCATAACACAGAGCCATCTAGCTCAATTTGCAATCTGACATGTATGCTAACATTAGCA